AGTAGGACAAAGAGCAAAGTTTGCCACGGTCGATTCCGTCGATGTCCACCGCGTGCTTCAACAAGATGAAGGCAAACGCGGTGACTTGCGCGTGAATTAGATTACGGTGAGAGTAGACTTGCGCGGCATATACCACACTCCCTTCCCCTCCCTACCTGGGCCGGGAGATAATCAGTACTGAGACGGCCTACCCACGCAAACTGGGGTTGTAAGTAGTAAAAAAATAAAGAGGACGATGAGCTTACACCCGAAGGAGTAAATAAGTTTCTCGGTCGTCTATTTGCTGTCGAAGAGGAAACAGGACAGCGCCCCAGTTCCAAGGACTGCGGTATCCTCTTCAAGGGGGTTAAAGTGGGACTGTTGTCTTCATACTTGCTGCAGTTGATCGACGCACCAAGAGGTATCACTGGCGTCAGTTCTAGTAAGGCACTCGCACCCTGTTCGCCATGTGCTGACGCAGAGGCATTGGGGTCCTCGGGCGAGGCATTCAGAAGGCAGTCCACAGCGTCCATGTCCTCCGTCAACTCTAAGCCCCGGTCCACAGGTGAAGGGATCCGGCAAGAAGCCAGTTCAGCGATGGAGGAGGAACAGGGGCGGACAGGAGGAACGCCGTGCAACTTGGAAGAACTCCCCAGTCGTTGCAACTCCTGGGTATACTCCTCATGAAGAAGCACACTAAGGTTAAAGAGGAGCAAGCGAGGATAAGATAGCCTACAGATAAAATCAAGCTCTTTTCAATTAAACGAACAGTTTACGGTGATCAAACATAAGTAGCACAGACCCAATCACCTGGTTGCATCGAACCGCATGACTAAGGGATAAAAAACACAATACATTCTTCTAAAGCAGGGGACGATAAGTCAGACTTTAATGATCAACGATATTTTGTATTACTAGACAGTGTTCATTAAGCCACTAGGCTTTAAGCAATTAATTTTCCTTGTCTCTTGATTAACGTCTTTCGGCAATTAATGTTTGCCGATGTGCGATAACAGAGAAAATAGTGCATAGAACTCGTCTGCCAATAAGACTAGATTGGCCGGCGTCGTTTCCGTGTGGCCGAAATTTGCTTATTACATTTGTGCACTGTGTAACCGAGACATGAAATACTGGCCAATAAAAATCTCCTACGAAAACTAGGTCAGTGTTGGGAAGTATAGAAGAAAACTTTCCGTTAATTTGTTCAAAAGGTGAGACATTGGGTCTATATAGATGCTTCCCGACCACTAATTTTGATATAAAGGTTTATTGTTTGTGGCCCTATCAAAATAACAGCAGACGTATTGACGCGTTTCGTAGAAAGACTAGGGAAACTTGTAGATATCAGACTAGGTTCGTCTACCTTACTGGATGAGGACCGTCAACTTTTTGGAGTAGTTGACATTTCCGTGAGGATCTACTTAAAATGAAGGAGATGTGATCAACATCTCTACCATCGTCCATTATGTTGCGATGACATGACAGGGTCAAGAAGACTAGAGATGGGCGTGAATGAGGCTATCCGACCACAACACCGGCCAATCACTTTGTTCCTTTTTTTAAAAGTCCTTCAATTTCCGTATTGTGCACTCGATTTGGGTGTAAATATCTTCTGTTTGGATATTTAATTCAACCTCCTACGTACTGTGTAGACAGTGAAGGCGTCAATGACCCTGCTGATCTTTAACTCGTCATGGACCCAAAAGTATGTTGTTGTCCTATAATCGTCCAAGAATACCTTCTTCAAACAGGGAT